TAGCAGTTGAAGTGTGTTTTCCCGGCATAATGCCTGGCATTTGGAAGGGGGGAGAATTAGAAGACACCGTCAAGCTTATGCACGGCCTTGAACTAACGGCCTCCTGGGGGCTAATAATTTCAATATCCATGCAGGAAGTAGAGACCTTCTCCCGATTAGCCCTGCTTATCACTCAAGGGCATATAGTACTGACCAGCCATCGCTGACTCACTGGTTCTGTTGTATTCCACAACCAGTATATTGTATATAGACTGCCAACCTGCAAGCTATCAGGTAGTTTGAACATAGGAGGAAAGCTGATACCATAGTATCCACAGTGAGGGTAGGAAACTAGGACTGCGTCTTGTTAGCAATGGTATCGATGAATGATAGTCTGCATGCCCTACAGTCACCTCCATCTCCGCCCTGGAAACCTAAAATCTCTAGGAACGTCCTTGTATCTGGATATTTTGGTTCTCGTGTACCGTACCAACTCATGACACCTTTGTCCGTATCTCTGCACTGTGTTGGATTGCCTCTCGAATACCGTGGCTTGATTATCGACCCTGGAAAAGCTCTCAGGCGCGGCCATCCTTGTGCTTGAGATGGGTACAGCTGATTAATGGGGCAAAACGTTGTTGAAAGAGAGGGATCCACAGGCCAAGCTCCGCTTAATCTGTAGTAGTCTGTACCTGTCGGGGTATTAGAAGGCACTATATGTCCCAACGGCATTTTCGGAACTTACTAAAGTTGCGCACATAGCCTTGATGGAACTCATTGTAATTCGCGCCAATAGCCTCGACCCCCTCGATCTATGTACCACCATTAGAATCTCTAACCTCAATACTGTAGGCATATTGACTTCAGCACCCATACCAATGCCCAACCAAGGCGGACACAACAACCCAAGAGGTAGAAGATACTGTAGAAAAAGACTCGCATCACGGAAGTAGGCGAAAAATTACCTGGACAGCAGTTAGCAATGAAAACACAAAATTATATATGATTTGCTTCGTAAGTCAGGCCACCCAGAATATTTTGTGACCTGTTCCAGCCCCCTTTACACCGGGCCGCGACCCCGTTTGGTTCCGCGATTTTGTGCAGAGCACGTTTATATAGTAAAAAACAGATTTTTCTGTTTTGAGAGATGCTGGCACGGTGTTAATGAACATTAATGAACGCTCTAATGGCCACAGCAACGGACGCCAACGCCCCCGTTCGACTGCTATGGAAGTCCAACAAACTCTACCAAAAGCTTCGTCCAAAAAGGTTCTTTGGCCTCCTCGAAAGATTCATGAAAACTAGTGAAGTGGAGATATGTATTATCGAGGACCATGGGAATAGCAATCCAGATGAAATAACGATGTTTGTCACGAGCTGGGGAAGAGATAAAGAACGGATTTAGGTATGAGTCTGGCTCGAATACCAGGTTGGCAACTACTAAGGAAATATATATCTCAAGGTATCAAGATATCCACAAGGATGTACTGACCTACTTTTGATTTGGTTGCGAGCCCATAGCCACTTCAACCAGGGCAACCTTGATGCTCAAGTTGAGTTTATAGATATATATAGAGCTACTATCACTACATAGGAGAAACCGACAGTGAAACAGGGGTTCTATCATTGTCAAGTACGCGCGTTTAAACAGGCTTAAATCATACCCCCATCATTGCCACCATGGGCCTCAAACCCCAGAACTTCAAAGTAACGCTGCTCAGAATCGCGAAGCCTTGCGGTGACCTGAACCAGCATGTCCTCAATCTTGTGGAAGATATGGAACATCTCCTCATGGAATTGCAGTAGAGCTTGTTTGGATTCCTTCTGCCACTGGAGTTCGGCTCTCAGGTAACTGGCATCATAGACGAGATCCTCTAGCTGTTGACGAATGTCTGTAGATGCTCTCTTCGATCGTTGCAAGCGAGAAGGGAGTCTTTCGATGCTGGACGAGGTGCCACCATGACGGAGTATTTCATGGTCCACTGGGGTGATCTCTTCAGTAATAGGATCAAGGGAGCGCCGGGGAAATTGTTGCATTCTTTCCAGGGTCTGAAATAGTGGGGGAGGTAAAGAGATGGGAACTTGCGACAGTAAAATTCTGATTCAGACAATTGTAAAAGCAGGCCTGTTGGAAGATAGAGTGACTTTTAAAGGACCAAAGGTCTGGGTCACAAACTCAAGTGCATGCTTCCATTGCGAGCCCGGAAGGGGTCGCGGGTCCGAGACATGTAGACACAATAGAAATGACCAGGACCCCAAAACTAGTCTAAGCAGTGTTTCTTGATAAAAGAGCCGCAGTTAAATGTGGGTTTAAAATGCCCTGACCTGGTTCTATTATGAGAAATATATAGTTTGCCGTATAAAGGATTATTGCATTCCAAAACAGGGCGAGCTTTGAACTGAAAACCTCGTAATTGGCTCTCGGGTGCAAGATATCTTTGCCAGGGCTTTGTTGACTGATTTCCCGATGTACTCTCTTTGGCCTATTATTGTCCGTCTATAGTAGTTCATGGTCACACATATCACACCATTGCCCCTTTGTATGTAGTAAACCATCAAACATAATACTGCTATTTTCCTAAGCAGCAAAATCAAGTGTCATTCTCCTTCACTAATCCCGTAGTTGATGTATACAAGCAGCATGATAAGAACATTAACCACAGCTGCATGTGCTATTTGAGATTTGAAGCTTATCCCATCTAGGTTCGGCTAATAAGTGTATTCAATTCGCATGATCTAAATGTCGAACCAAGCAATGTATAACACTCTCTTTTTCCACTAGGTGAAAATGTCAAAGAAGGTCTAGTATATCTACTATGGCATCTCAGAAACACACAAACTCCCCGCACTTCTCAGTACCAATGATGACTGGATCCTGCATTCTACCGTGGCGTGTTTGAACAGTTGTTGCTGTTAGGGATGAGCTGTATGGTTGGAGGTGAGGTTGGCTCGCTTGGGCGGCTTTCAGTATCACAAGCCCAGCAGCACTCGGGACCAGTGTCCTGCGAATCCCCCCTTAAAGCCATCTGTAGGTAGCGTACTGTTTCTTCACGTGCGTTCAACGCGGATCGAAGAGTGGAGATCAGCTCACGTTGCCACTCATTCTGAAGGAGAACATGCTGAATATTCAAAGAGCTGGTGTCACTGTGTCCAATCTGAGCTATGGCCCGTAACAAAGCCTCGTTAACTAGGTGCTGTTTCTCCAGACGAATTTCCAAGTCATCCGCCCTTTTTCTCTCCTTTATAAGGTCTTGACTTAAAAGCCATTGGTGTTCTGTGACCTGGTCAAGGGCGGACTCTTGCTGCAGTCTTGTTCTTTCCAAGTCTGCAATAATGGCTCCCATATATGCGCAATGGTCGCGTGTTTGGTTGTACACAACCTGGTCCTCCTTTAGCTTGCGCTCTAATTCTTCGACCCGATCCCTCGATATCTCTTCCCATTCGAGGCGCTTGTCTGTCAAACTGCAGATAGCTCGAAGCTCGTTCTCAACGTGGGTGCCCTTCGATCATTAGCTCTGGTAAACATGCTTGAAAATGACTGACTTTACCGGAACTTGGGACATTGTACTGGAAGGAAAATGTTTTAGATATATTTAGCCTCCGATCAGATCTATCAATTTAACAAAAGTCCGGCGCAAAAAACGAAGGAGCGGATATTCCTTCGACTTAAACCTTTAGTATGAATATTCACGAAAGCCTATACAACTTAAGCCCAGTGACCTAAAATCTGAATTGTAGGGGGATTTAGCCGCTATAGGACCGCACGTTTTGAGTGTAGATGTCGACATATGCGACACCGAATGGGCTCGCAGGGGTATTCTTTACCGCACCAAAACGGTGACGGCACCGTCATGCTTTAGGTAGTTCCGTGGCCGAGTGTAGAAATATCGATTTCCACTAGGGATCCATATTGCGCCTCCATTTCGGGTAGGACGTATAACTGCTTGTAAGGAACACCTACTTGTATGGAATATTACCCACTGCCCCGTGCGTGGTCGAAAATCTTGCCCCGGTAACGTTTCAGACCTAGTGACTTCTCGGCATGCAGCCTACCCAGAGTTTAACAGGCGACATTAAATATATATTTATATTTACATGCGTCCTATATCTTTGGGAGTACTCCTACTATATTCTTATATAAATACAACCTCTACCCAAAGACAGTATAAACAACTACAGCTACGTGGAGCTCTACCGCTGATTATATATTTCTTTTTACGTCATACTGTGAAATGCTTTATGCCATTCCCTCTTATCTCTAAAGCACATCTCACATTTGGGACTGACAGTTCTGGGTTTAGAGAATCAAAAGAACTCGGTACGCTCGTGTCAAGTGAAGCCGCAACGTTAGGATAACTAGCACAGCATATCGAGCTGTTTCTTCAAATTTGCAAAAGGTAATCGTATCGCTCGATAGCTACAGAAATCTTCATTAGCATCTTCGCCATAACACTAGAATCCTGGGAAGTTCATCCTGTCTACCTCTTGAGGCATACCCATGGCACTCAGCCAGCTGTACCATTGCGAAGGAGACTGTATTCACCTCCTCCCGCACGTTGCCCACAATTGGCCATGGTTCGACAAACTGCTGGAGTATACCTGCATGAATCTTTGTGATCGGATCCTGAAATTCCAGCTAGGTTTGCTTGGACGTAGTAGTGATACAAGCCATCTTCACCTCATCCAATTTTGCTAGGATCCACCTCATGAACGACATCAGCCCATTTAGTAAAGCTACTGTGCTCAATATTCCCTTCTTTGACCACGCGCGGGCTCGTGAGCTTAGTAGATTATCAATTCTTTGCTCCACTAGGTTACCAGAGAGAGGCTCTTTCAAGTACTGTGCAATACTCTTTCCTCCTACCGAGAACGTTTAGATAAGCCATAACCTGTATAACAAAGACTAGATACCAGAGCCCTCGGGGATTTGAAGCGTTCCAATTGGACATCTCCCGGGAACTAGGAGACTAAGTCCTCGGCTCTTTTTAAAATACGTCCTGCAGAGGTATCTATACCGACACAGAACAGGTGTAAAAATAAGGAACTGAAGCTCACCTGAACCACTTAGTATGGGTGAGCCTCGGATGTTAAGAAGCTCTCCCGATAATCGCACGTGGTGTGGAAAAGATCACCCCGGCCCCTTTACCTTTTCCGTAACCATTTAAGCTTTTTCTTATTTGTAATTGTGAGTACGTGGTAACGGTCATGTGGATCAAGTACGTCTCAAAGACAACGACCTAAAATATGTGCCTCGGTTACCACGGCCCACATGTAGGTTTCGTTATGTCTCGTATTTCTGGTCTTAACCTGGGGACTACTATTCTTAGCCTTTTTGTTCTGTTTTCTAGAAGCCTGGCCTAAGTAGGTAGTACCATTTACGCAAAAGGATGCAACGGTAAAACGATCGTGATGTGACTTCAAATCCTGACTTTTGCCAGAAGACGGGTTATCTCAACTTTGATCGGAAGCGGCCCTCTCTAGATGTGGAGCCTAAACTGTACTAATTTTTTTTTTTTGCGCAGCTTAGGCGGCACGTAATTTCCAACCAAAGGCCCTTTCCTTAAACTGTAAACATGGCATATGAAATGATTAACAGTGTATCACATTGACTGGAAACCTTTCATGTCCCCACTACTCCAACTGAGAATAAATGTTTTATCTCTTTTTGGGGCAGGTGGGGTTGGGGCGGTGGGTGTTTTCTAGTAGGGGAAAAGGGCAGGCGATCAAGATAGTAAGAACTTTTCTTCCTTGGCAGGACGGACCCACTAAATATATTCTCTCTTCATGGAGGATATGTTGATTCCTGTAATTATAACTGTATATGAATCCTGCCTGGCTTCGGAAGAGGAAGCCAGAAATAAAATGATTGCAAAAATAGGGAGATGTATAATTACTTACATGTATGTGAAAAGTTAAAAATAAATCAGAATGAAAAAGTGCACTTACGATTGGACCCTGCATGGGTATGACTTGTATTTGTTAGTTTGTGGTTGAGGAATGGCGTCAGCAAAAAATTTAAAATAAAAAGAAATGTAGCCCCTCTTACGGAATTCGGTAAGAGCCTATCAAAACTGTATTTCTTACGGTTATACTTCGGAGATTCGGGCCGAAGATACGTGATAAAATAGGATACTATTAATGCCCTTGACTTAAACTGGCCATACGTAACTAGAGCTGTGAGCCTTATTAGGATGCCGGTGATTCGCTAGGATCCGCTGTGGCTAGTTGTTTATGTTAGATGATGTTCTCCGAGATAAATGGCTTTGCCGCTAAGTCGGGTCCAAGCTGCCGATTTCCGGACCCGCCAATGACGAGGGACAAGGGCCGACAGCGCTTTGTTATCCTTTGGTTCTCTTAGTCGGCCCACGGTTTCAAAAAGCCACGGCTAGTTTGACCATAATGAGAAGCCCTAAGACACTTAGATAGGGTACCTACTTCAGTCTTTAAGAAAAAAAAGGTTAAAGAAAAGAAAGAAAGAAAGAGAACAATAGCACCTGGTAAGATTAACAACTATATGAGCGGAATTCCTTGGGAAATCTATGAGCTTCTAGGACTTCGTGTCATGCGGGTCGTTAATGTCCTATGAACTATCATATATTGAGATTTATCTACATAGAGAGCAAGACAAAAGTGGTTATTATCAGATTTGCAGAGATGAATGCAATTTATATTGTATTATGCCTAAGCACGAGACTTGCATTTGGAGCCCTTTAGCTAATTATACTTAGTATGCAACAAAAAACCACAACAATCATTTGTTACGCCCGGGTATCCGTCCAAGGACTCCACGACCAGTTAGCAATCTTGGTTAGATTCGACTTACCTCGACGACTAGAATCTACTAGTGATCGACGACGAGGGGTGGCCCGAGTTGGTCCGAACGAGTATCTACGATACTGATGACGATACTTATACGAAGGTAGTCCAAGGTTGAAAGGCCAGGCTAATTGAGTACGTATACTCAATTATTAGATAGTGCGAACGAGTTGAGCTGGTAACAATATAGAAGGTATATCTGTGGTAACAATTTGGATTGATCACGAAGAACTAAACTAAGTACATGAATGAGTGTCCTTATATATCCTTCCTTGAAACATCTTGATATATTGACTGGTATGTCGTTGGTATACGCGTGGTATACGATATACTCCCTATAACCGTCCCTTGGTAATCCTGCGGCTGCTTTCAGCTCTTATCGTCCTATGGTTTTCTGCCCTTCGTGTCCGCTTTCGATAAGGTGCGCTAGACAAGGGTCTGTAACATCATTCTCTGTGGGACACTCTTTCGTATTGATACGGGCGCGGTGTGCTTGAACCATGGCGGCTCTCATGGGTGAGGATGTCGTCTCTTGGCGAAGGACACTCTAGCTCACTCTGAAGGGTATCACCATCATTGGTCCCGTAGCCGTCAGGTGGTATGTCTTGTAAAGCCATCTGCAAACACTGTATGGTAATGTCCTTCACGTCTAACGTAGATCGCAAGGTGGACATTGCTTCGCGCTGCCTCTCGTTCTCGAGGAGAACATGTTGAATGTCCCAGGAGCTGCGATTGCTTTCAACTTGTGTGACTGCACGTAGAAGAGACTCGTTTACCAGGTACTGGTCCGCAAGACGAGACTCCAAGCCCCCTATCTTCTGTCTTTCCAGCGTCAAGTCTCGGTCTAACAACCATTGACACTCCACGAGGCTGCTAACGGTAAATTCCTGATGTAATATCTTATTTTCCAATCTTGTGATGACTGTTCTCAGATCGGCGCAATGGTCGCATGTTTGTTTGTGTGAGAACTGGTGCTCCATCTGGAACTTAAGCTCCTCTACCTCTTGCCTTAATCCGTCTTCCCGCTCGAGGAGCTTCTCCATTAAGCAGCAGATTGTCTGAATTTCGCTTGCGACGGATGGATCCTTCTATCGTCAGTTCAATAAACTGTTGTCTGGGGAAGCAGTCCTCACCGAAACGTGTGGCATTGTGTTGGAGAGAGACTATTAGTGCACCTGGCCTGTTGGTAAATGTCCGTCAGATTTTGGAACGAGAGATCAGTGACCTGAAAGCGGAACAAACCGCTGGGTAGACGAGCTAGGCTCTAGATATAATTACCATCGAGGAACAGCTGAATAGGCACCATGAGCTTATTTTCCTGACCAAAACGGCATCTATTTGGAACAAGACGTCTTTATTATTTGCGTGGACCAAATCAGTATATGCGGAACTAAAACGCGTCGCACTATTGAACCTTGCAGACACCAGATAGTGACATCCAGACCAGTCCGAGGCCTACTTGCGTGCTAGGCGCTTTCTTGGAGAGCTGAGAAAAACACTGGTTTTTCCCTTTACTATGTAATTTTCAACCCGCTCAAGATGAAAGTCAGAAGCCCCTCCTTGAATTTTCTCGACTGGGCATCTGGCCCCCAAGGAAGAAAGTTAAGTGCGTGGCTCTGGTGCGCTGGTGGGGCTGCTGAGGTTGTCCCTGCTGGAATGAAAACAGATATATGCGATGAAGAACATGAAGCTTACTTGAAAGACTATGATCTTTGGTTATTAGGGATTGCTCCTAGCTGCCAATATGGGTAGGGAACTCTCTGGGGAAAAATAGAAATCAACAAACTTAGATGAGGTAAGATAGGCCAAGCCAAAACATTGCAAATCGGATGTGCTTTAGCTCCAAAGGCCCACTTAAAGCTCCGGTATGCCTCCCGCTCAACGCAAGACACATATAATGCGGAATGCTTCCCGCCTCCACCTTCCCTTTCCTTCTCCGGTTTCTTTTCTCGTTTTGGTCTCGCGTTTTTTTTTTCCCTTTTTGGCTAAACCGAGAAAAAGTAGTTCTTAGCAATAAAGAGATTCAACACATTTAATAAACAGCTTGTCAGCCACATACCTTTACGATCAAAATAGCTTACTAAATTTGTGATAATAGATATATAAGTACTCGCCATTGTTCCTGAATGAGGTCATCCATTTAGTCATTTTATATCCTATCCAGACATATTCGAATTTGATCAAACCAAGATCGAAGAAGTAACAAGACATTTTGTGACTATGAATAGCCTAGGATTAAATTAAAACTTAGTAGAGAACCATTTCGTGGACCTGACCTAGAACCATGGAACATAAAATGAGGACCCATAAAAGGCTCCATGCCCCAAGCCGCCCATTCCTTAGCAAGCGTAGGGAACTATTTTGTAATTCTTAGGAATAAGAAGGAAAATAGAAAAACGTACTATGAAATGTCGATCAAAACACGGGGAAAGCGCGGGAGATCCCACTTGTGAACTTAATGCAAGTCCATGCTCCACAGCGCTGATCAAAATTTAGAGTTGCATGGGACTTTTTTAAAATTGGCTGGCCGGTCCGATCCGCTAAAGGTTTCTCAAAAATGGAAGGTAGAGATGGACTCAGAAGTCATAATTAGCATTCAAGTTGAGTGATATAACAGATTATTCTCCTTTTTTCTTTTTATTTTCCTTAAAAGAAAGGAGAGAAATAATAAACGAGGTGGGTACAAGAAAGATGTTGTGCTTGTGGAAGATGAAGGCAAACTAGACACTAAACCGCTAGAATATTGACTAGTGTATGAAATGGTGAATAAATCTACTTTTTGCCACCAACTTTCTGTTGGAGATCAGGAAGGGAAAAAATTGCAAAGTAATTTAACTGAATAATTTGTCACTCTTTCCCTTCCTCGGCTTATGATTAATTAACTTGGTAATTATAGTAGCTCTCGCAAATTGCACCTCTAGCTGGTATTGCTTACTTTTTCAACTTGTATACATTGCTAAAAACGCCTTTTGCAAAGCTTACACTAGTAGAGGTTGTAATAATTGTCTAGTACTCTAGACAATATCACACAAGGAGATGGTAAAGGCTAATAATAAAAAGGAAAATATCCTGCTCCATCAACCCATGATCTACTATATCTGATCCAGCGGGCTTCGACGTCGCAAATCAACGGCGGCCTTACTCTGTGATTGGAATGACACAGGATGCTCCATGCGCTTAGTTAAATGCCCAAATTTTTCCATAGCAAGCCGCTCGCATTTGACGACTTTCTCCACCATCTCCGCCAATTTGTCAACTCTGCCAGAGATGTTGTCCATCTTGTCATGAAGACTACTCGCCAATATGTCAACCCTGTTGGACATAATCTCGATCTTTTCATGAAGGCTGTCCTCTAGTCCTTCGACTCTGTTGGATATAGTGCTGGTTTTTATATCCAGTACACTGAGTACATCGGGGATGTTTTGGAATTTCAGTGCAAAAGCATCAATGACACTTGAATGTCGCTCAACTGTTTCCGAAATTGACCCGGCTTCTGTCGTTAGGTTCTGTATTGCAGTGCTAAAGTTATCAATCGAAGAATGTAGAGCTGCAACTGTCGATGTATCACCACTACTGGTCACGGAAAAGTTGTCAATATTGAATATCCCATCGGCATTTCTTTCGGAAGGCTCAGAGAACGTCTTCTGGCAGTTAAATTCACTTTCATTTTCTGGTTAGCATAAGCAATATGGGCAAGTCATTGACTTCCTTCTTACCTAGGCAATTCAGTGGGTGGGACACTCTCCTGACTACGGTACATTGTTAGTGATTTCTCGGCCAACCGTAGCGAAAACACAAACCTTTCCCCCCAATTGTTAAGGCCTCTTTCCTTTAGACGCAAGCCTACGTTTTCATCCCCAACCAGAGTAGTAGAAGCGGAAGCATTGAACTGTGAGTGGTCCACAATGCAGTTGCTACTGGCAAAGTTATTGAGGAAGGCGTTTCCAGGTTGGGCAAAAGTATGGTTCACCCCGTTGTACGGATTGAACAGATCATTGTACGGCCACAACTCGCTATTCGAATAAGGGTTCGGTTCGAAGTCCTCACATCGTTGGTTAAATAAAGACATATTTAAAGTTTCTTTTTTTTTTAGGTGGACAGAGATGAGAGAGGAAGAGTGATGAAGTATTGTCCACGCAGGTGGGATATCAGCATCGAAATGAGACCACCAAGTGGGCTTTATATATCCTTAGAGCTTACAATGATTGCAAACGGGCTGCCTTTACTACCTGTGCGCAGGGATTAATTATGGTTACATGGCTTACGACGGATACTAAACTTAGGGGTCAAAAGTCTGACTACACCCGCCATTTCGGCAAAAAATGCAATGAATTCAAACTCGATTTTCTCAACCAATTTAAATGATATTAATCTACAAATAGATTATATAGATTCCATATATCAATACTTTGTATACCAGCCACGTGCCAGGCGTACAGCCTGAAGTCTGCGTGGCATAGAGCGAATAAGGCGATCTATTCGCTCCTGAGGAATAGCCCACCAAGCAGCTTGAATACTCTCCCTAAATTGCGTCCAATCAATCTGTGATCTACCGCTTAGAAAGAGCTCTGGATAGAGCTCTAAAAGCTTCTTTTTAAGCAGGTTCCAGAGATGCTCAATAGGATTTAAATCGGGCGAGTGTGCAGGCCAATCCGGCACCCAAATTCCATGCCTTTCAAACCAGTCCTGCGCCTCGTAGGAAACATGAATCTTTGCATTATCTTGTTGGAATATAGAGCCAGGTTTATAGATTGGTAGAAGCCCTTTTTCTAGGCAAGCAAGATAGGATTTGGTAGAGTATCCACCTCGAGGCGATAATTCATCCCGTTCTAGAACGACTAATTCAGATCGGCCACCAATCCATATAGCGCCCCAAACCATTTGAGAAATATCTTTTCCATGGTTTGTTAGGTTAACTAGATCTTTTCTATATGCTTCATTAGAAAAGCGGAACACGTATTGG